TAAGTCATAATCTCTGAGTCTTTTCTATTTTGGGGGTTCCTCCTCCTAGTCATTCGGTTGATGGGTGTTTGAGGGAATGTATAGAGTCCAAATTATTGACCAGAACCCAAGCAAGATGCACCTGTTTTCTTGGGACCTTAGGTTTGCTGGCTTCTTGTTTTCCCAGCCTGTCTTCTGGGAGAGGGGCCTGCCACGCTGTTACTCAGGCATCCCTGTTTGGGCGGAGTTGCCCTGCCCCCCTGTGGCGGGGAATGGGCTCAGCGGGATCAGTCTTTGGGGCTTTTGTTCGCTGGTGGCTTTCCCTGGCGGCTTTCCGTGTCTCTTCCTCAAGTCAGAGCAGAAGAGACCGTTTCCAACCCTCTGTCCCAGAGCAGAGACACTGCAGTCTGTTCTTCAGTGAGCTCTCTGGGCCACACTGTCTCCGTTTCTGTCTGTGCTGCTATAAACTGCAGCGTCCTGGGTTGTGCGCCCCTCCGCAGCACCCCCAGTCCTGCCTCCAGGTCGGGGCACGTCTCTGCCCTTTGTGCTTCTAAAACCGCCAGCCGCTCCCAGTTCGCCTGGGCAACGCTGCCACTCCGGGTTTCCGCCCCGGGGGCTGCCCTTAAGTCCTTTCCCCCGCCGCTACCGGTCTGAGAGTCTGTGCCCGCACAGCATGCGAGGCTGTTGCTCCGAGCAGTGTAGGATCCCCACGGCCAGGCACCCTCCTGCTGCCGTTTATCCTCCGATATCTGCTGGCAGAATCACGGCTCCCCGCTTTGTACCTCAAAACCAACCACCTGTGATATTCTGTTTGTAGAAATCCCGATCTTCTTACCTCTCAGGCTGGTTTTGTGGGTGCTCAGAGTGGTCTGGTAGATATCCAGCTCAATTCCGGGGACCAGTTGAAATAGGGTCCCCTACTCCTCTGCCCTCTTTCCCCCCTCCTTCCAAAAACAGTCTTTCAACTGATTTTACACTTTTTACTTCTTATTGTACACATTCTTTACCACTTACTCAAGCTCATTTCTTCAACCAGACAGCAAAAAATAGCTACTTTTAAAATCTTTTTTTTTTTTTTTGTATCTGGCAAAATAACAAACGCTCAAGAAACACAGAATATAAAACCTTACACAGGGTTAAGAAAGTTCAAAGTGTTAGCAACAAATATTTTCCACTGACTTCTAAGATGGTATTGCATTTGCTGCCTCCCCCGTCCTTTATTAACTAAATTGCTATAAAACACAGGCTATTGGATCTCTGCTGTTAGGTAAGTAGGATATTCCTGTAAGTCTGGTTTTCAACCCCTCTGCCACTATTTAAATACATACTCAACAAAGAGTAATTCCCAATTTACCTCAGAATGTAATTCCTACTTTGTCTCACTTGCACTATTACTTCATAGATTTGAACAACTTGTTCAATATAGTAAGGGATTCACTTCCATTTAATACCCCTCTCCCAATATTTTTTGTCTAATCTTTTGGTATTTAGTGAAAAAGGAAAACAAAAACAAGCTGACTTACCACCCAAGAGCCTCTCATCATGAAGTTCATGAGAACAGGAGTTCTGCTCACTGCGAGGGCGGACAAAGCTGTTAAGCCAATACTCCCTGCTAAGTACATATAGGTAGAATGAATTCTATCCTTCACATACTGAGGCCAAATTCTGTAAGAAGCACAACATGGTTAACTTATGGAAATATGGATATAAATTTTGGTTAAATCATTCATAGCTGGGAAACTTTGGGAAATACCAATTTACTGCTCTAATCTTATCTCATTTATTATGGAAATAATGATGCATACATTGGAGTTATCATAAAAATTAAATGATATAAAACATAAGCACTTGGCACATATACAAAGCAACACATTATAGTAAAAGATTTTTATTTAAGTTTGAATAGATGCCAAGAGATTTTATTTTTAGTCAAGTATATTTCTACAGTTAGAAGATGTAAAACATTCCAAAAGTGGCAAAGGAGAAGGATGAAAACAAAATTGGAACCTTGAAGACTGGGAAATGTTTGGGAATGATATACTTACACAGCCTTTTCAATAGCTCCAATCTCATTAGACATTCCCAAGCCATAGTAGCACAATGCTCCAAGACCAACAGCAGCCCCTCCAGCAATAAACCATCTTCCCATCTGATCAACTGGAGAACACAGGAGGAAATGCACATTAATACAGTCATGTCTTGACTAAATTAAAATGCTGACGGTAAGCCCTTTCTAATATTTGTATGAGGAAAATCAAACTATACACCATAGTCCTTTGTAACAACCATAATTAGAACATATGGGGATATAAGCAGCTTCAACATTAGGGACCAGTAAAAAAGGACACTGCTAAAACATAGGTGTAATAATACAAAAAGGATCAGACTTGATTAGCCTCTAGTTTCACACCAAAGAAATTTAAGGAGGCAGTGTATCTGTAGATGTGGGGATACTTCTGTAATACATATTATTTTATTCCTAAGAATCTGGGTAATGTTCTCATGATGCTCTTAGAAAGAAAAAGATGAAAAAGAAATGTTAATAGTCATACCACAGTGTATAAAGTGCCATTAAACGAAGATGATACTTGATGTAGACAAAGAAAAAAAAGGAACCAAAAATGTAATCAGTGTTAATGCAGCAGAATCAAGGGAGAGGGTACCCTAAAGTAAGAGCAAGAGAAAGAAACAACCTACTCTTAATTGGATGCATCTTACTCCTTTTAGTTTGAGTTTGTCACTAAGACTATTACTATGCTATAGCTGTATGTTTCATGTAATTTATTTTTTTAGGGCAAAATTACTAACCAGAAAGAAATGCCTGGAGGGATATGGATTACAGCTCTTTCCCATTATAATATATTGACACTTTGTAAGGTCATTAACCAGCAATAGTGTTCTATGAATAGATCTGGGTAGATTAACGATCTTGTTAAACTTGCAAAGCTGAAATCCAAATGAACTTCATTAAGGTACTGTTTCCAGGGAGCCCATATATGAACAACCAATTAAGAAGAACAGGTAGGCTTTCATTAGTATCTGTTTTAGTGATTTTTCTCTTGACCTAAAACATACATAAATATTATATGCTTGAATGAAGATTCTATGCAACTTCAACTGAACTCCCTTAACAGATTATATCTTTAATACCATGGCATATTAACTACTAATCCTTTCTTTAAAAAAAATGGTAAAAGTAAAATTTTCTCTGGAAGAAATATGATTGGGAACCAATGAACCCAGTATGAAGTATCAATCTTTTCTGCGTCATGAGATCCTGAAGAATGATTGCCTTTCTTCCCAGAAAATGCTCACATATATAAGTTTGCACATATTTTTAGAAGGCTGTTCATGGACTTCTTAAAACATATTCACATACTCCAGTTCAAAAACCAAAGACTGCTGCCTACTTTTAAATATTTTTTCCACTGACGGTTCCATTGCTGCCTCCTTAAGTTCTTGGCCAGTTTTCCCACGCCGGATCCCAACTCTTGTCTTGGTGGCATATTGCTGATATACACAAAAATAAAGACACACGATACATACAGCAAAATAGAATGTTATTAATAAAATATAATTAAATGTCATTACACTAGAAAACTGTATATAACTTGGTACTTTCTATGTATGTAGTTTCACTATAAAGGTCTGTTAGCCAATCTAAAAAATTAAATGTAAACCCTACCTACCTGTGGTCTATCTTTGAAATGATTCACTTAAATTCTTAGTTTATAACCTAACTTCTTAAAGTTTCAGAATAATTATTTCATAAACTATTTATATCTCTAGAATCATATTTTAAACACTAACTTTAAAAAAGCATGCATTCATTAAGTATTAGCTACATTTTTTTTTCCATCTGGGAAATGGGCTCAAGAAAGTTACCTTTCCTTAACATAAAGTCAAAGGGAAGGATGATTACTACCTCTTTTTTTAGCTCTTTTTCAAAAGCAGAACAGTTAATTCATGAGGAAAACAGCTGTCTCTTCTAGCTTATATATATATTTCCTTATCTACCTCATATTTCAAAATTTATACTTCTAATTTGAATGCTGGAGAAATCTATTATAAAAATAATGGGTGTCTCTCTAACCTGATGGATTTTACCACTCTTTACTCTTTAATCAAGAGCTGAAATGACATTTTTAGTAACTTATTAATAAGCTACTGACCAAATGTTAATATTCCTGGGTTCTTAAGCTTTTGACTACAGGCTCCACAATCTCTTTGTTGTACCATATAATTCTCAATCTCACACAAATCACTGTAAGTTCTCTGAATGAAACTCCAAAAGCTGTAAGTAAAGAGAAAGTTATAGGAGCTCTGTCTTCCATATGTGATAAGGAGGAACAGAATGGCACAAAACAGGGAGAAAGAGCTGATTTGGGACATTATCAGGGATAAATGTTTCAGTAAATCACTAATGGTAGAACAGGGAGCTTCATACAGTCAAAAAAAAAAAAAAAAAAGGTTCCAGTGCACAAAGAGAGGGACACAATGTAAGATATCAGATTATCCTTACCTGGCTGGGTGTTAAGAGCCATTGATTCTTCGTGATGGAATTCTTCACAATTGGGGAGGCCTTGGTGAAAGCTGGTTGGAAAACCCTGGAAGGGAGTGTCCGGAGACACACAAGTCTTGCAGCCAGCATGGTGGTGCACCAGGTTTACCAAGCAGATCTGAAATGCTATTTGAGACACAGACAAAAAATAACCCATTAACCAACTGAGGGAATAACACAGAAAAGATGTGGAGACACAGAAGGGCCCAGCAATCATATTTTAGTAGAAAAATGGAGTTTTTTTTAAATGTTAATGATGAATTGTCGGCTTATTCCTTGTTAGTCCAAGAAATCCACCCCACAGAATCCAATATGGGATGATCACCAAAACAGAACTGAATCCCAGTTTGAACAATATGGTGTATGACTCCATATAAGTTATGCATCTAATACAAAGTAGGTGTTAATATCTTAAGACAATTGCAGTGTGTGTGATGGCTTTTATAAATGTGGTTTTAAGCATTCAATGGGACAATTTAAAACAAGACTCTGTATAACTTTTGAGCAGAAGAAAAATGTCATCCAAGGAAGAGATGAGTAACTCTTCAAGGTCATGCTACACTGTAAGGTTTCACGACATCAACAGTAATAAAATATTTAAATTTCTGCTAAACATGCCAAATATTACTTCCCTTCAAAATGTGATAAAAATACTCAAGATACTGAAACCACCTGGGATGCATCTCTGGTCCTTAATGATTTAACCTCTAGGAATGGGACCCAGGAATGTTTTACCTAGCACCCCCAAAGCTAAGAAACCTTGCTAAAAAAATACCTATCAAACTGTACTTCCAGCTCTCCCACTGAATCTATAATGGTTGTACAACACTGAGAAAATACCGAGACCTTCTACTACTTTCACGCCATTACATCATCTCAGCCTGTTGGCGGTTTATATTCCGCGGTACTCAACACATCGACTGGGAACGAGGCCCCGCTGAGTGGCCTCCATGTCGCGCAACAGAACAAAGTGGAAATCTTGTTTCTGCCACATTCCAGAAGTGGCCTCGTGACTGTCTGCCCTCTGAGACTCAGATGTGTTAGCTATAAAATGGATAAAGTATGACGACCCCATACGCTTCCGCAAGCATTGATGCGCTCAAGCTCCTGGTCCCCCGAGAAAGTCCACCCAGCTCTCCAGACTCGGTTGAGAATTCGGCAGGAAGCCTCCAGTCTCCCAAAGTCAACGCATAACCCCACCACACCCCCGCTCCAGCACCCCCTTATCTGAGAGGGTTGCGGCCGTGCGGCCCAGCCGCTGGGTGATTCAGCACCTCTGCCCGAGGGAGAAGAGGACAGCGGGGGCGAGCCCCCGCCCGCCTGCCCCAGGCCCCGCCGCCGCCGCCCTCTTTCACGCGATCACCCGCAGGACGATGACCCTAACGCGCCGCCAAACTGTGGCACCGCCAGGCTGTGACGCAGCAAGCAGCGCCGCCGCCTTCAGCCCTCCTCGGATGCACCCAGCGGCCCCGCGAAGCCGGCCGTCAGGACAGTGGATATCCGGTGCCAGAAGGCCCGGAGTAGCCATACCTCAGTCCCTGGTCACCTCAACCACACAGCTACCCTTCCGGCCGGCGAAACGCAAACGCGTACACCTGGCTAGACCTCCGCCCGCTCCTTACTGTCTCTGCGCGCGCAGTTTCCCTTAACCCCTGAGTGACGCAACATCCGGAGAATCGCCAAACACTAGGGTCACCCAATCAGGAGCAGATCTCTGACGGAAGGGCTGGCGCGGTAGGGAGGAGGGGTTCCGGGCTGGAGGGGCGGGGCCAGTAGTGAATTGTCGGAAGCGTCATAGTCAGCGTCCATTTTGGGTATGGGCAGCGAAGGTACTTCTGCCATGTTAGCTATGGGTAGCGGAGCTAGTTTTCGTTTTTGTCTCAAAAATTTCACTAGCGGCCGTTACAAAAATCACGTAAAAATTGAAAAAGAATATTAAATGTGTGAGAGCTAAAAATTATTCCGTCGCCCCTTTCTTTTCTCATGTTGCTTTTTTTTTCCTTCTCAAGAATGTTTTGTGAGATGAATAGTGTGCCGAACGTGGTAGTTTCAGAGTGGAGCCAATCGGTTCTGACGCCCAAGGTTGGCTCATGAAATCTAGGAAAGGGTCTAAATCACACAAGGTCACTCGCCAGATTTTAGCAGGTTTAACCCCCATTGCTCTGACCTCCCACGACACATTTTCAGGCTTCAGTTTATACATGTGTAACAGGCATGATATGACAGCCTCCGCCTCTTACCTTGAAGACTGTGAAAATGTTTTCATTACACATAATTTGTAAAGTGAAAAGCCATTTCTCGTCTATACGACAGAGGTTTTGTTTTGTTTTTCTTTCACTCTTTTATCCATTACACAAATATTTGTTGAGTCTCACTTTGTACCAAGCACTGAACTAGGGATGTATACAAATGAATAAAACACAACCAATACTGTTGTTTGGACAAAACAAAGTCCTTGCCCTTACGGTATTGACTTTCTGGTGGGGACAAAAAACAGACAAAATGTTTGGTGGTGATAAGTACTATGGAGAAAAATAAAGCTGCATAAAGCCTTAGATGGGTGCTATTTTAGATAAGATGATTAACAGGTAAAATTCATGAGCCTTATCTCCTCAGTTATTGTTAATTGTGATTTATGATGATCCTCTAACCATGTAAATCTTGACAAACATAAAGGTTTACATTTTATGTAGGTAATAAAACAGTTTGGCCGCACACAATTTTAGTTTCTTTACTCTGAAAATGTAGAGAAATCTGTCACTTAAGATAGTGAACAGGTCAAGCAAGATCAATTTAATCTTTAGATCTTCACCCAATTTGATTAGCTAGCAAATGGGTTCTTTGTTTAGCTACCTTAGTGTTTTTTTTTTCTCCCTACAGCTTCTGTTATCAGCAAAGAGAAGAGATTCACAACACAGTACCTGAATAAACAATATACCTTTTTAAGTGATTTGTAAGATTTTTTTAAAGATTTTATTTATTTGAGAGAGGGAGAGAGAGCCAGCACGAGCAGGAGGAGGGGCAGAGGGAGAGGGAGAAGCAGGCTCCCTGCTGAGCAGGGAACCTGACCTGCTCTATCCCAGGACCCCGATTAAGAACTGAGCTGAAGGCAGACACTTAACTGAGTGAGCCACACAGGCGATTTATAAGATTCTTATTAATTAAAGCTTATTCTCTTTATAAAGGAAAATAAATTTCTGATTGCATATTTTCTTAAGTATGGGGTTTGTATTGTTCCACAGATGTCAAATATTTTGAAAAAGGAGTGTTACCTGGTCACATCATTGGGAAGATACACTCAGTGTGGGGTGGGGAGAGATTTCATTGACTGGAAACTAATTAGGAATTTATTGCAATTGTTCAAGCAAAAGGTGTTGAAGGCTGGAATTAAGTGAGTAGAGGGACAGAGAGGGGGTTTATGACAGAGATATATGACCAAGGAGGAATTTACAGGATTTATTGGCTGATTGAATATAGCTGGTAAGGATGAGGGAGGCACCCACGATAATCCATGTGTTCTGAATTGAGTGAAATTGGGTGGATAATTACACCATTAATTTAAAGATCGGATACAGAAAGAGATACAGATGTAGGGGAAGTAGGTAAGTAAAAATATTGAGACGGAAACTGAAGGACTGAAGGACTCCATGAGAATATGTTTTTGCTTCTTTTCCTGCCTCTATTCTTGCTAGGACCTGCACCCTCACCCCACTTTACACATGCCTCATAATATCCTCCTTGTAAGGGACAAGAAGTTAATGATTTCTTTAGAATAGATAACATCTAAGGAAGGACAAGGTGAGAATAGCTGGACAAAGCTATCATATGGATATTCCAGACCACCAGCGCTAGACATCTAAATGCCAAGGCCCCCTGGCTCCAATGAATAACACCTGGGCCCTCATCTTTGTTCTAATCAGTTCCTGAGGGGACACGTATACAGACCACCCTCCTCAATAAAAACCCCCAGATCCTGAACAAAGACAAGACTCATGATCCTTTCCTTTCTGAGTCTGCCAGACACTCCCTCTGTATCTGCTTTCTCTGTATCTTCCATAAGCTCTCTCTCACTTCCTACTGGCTCACATTTGATTTCCATCCTAAGAGAAGCCAAGGACCCTCCTGGCTGGTCTTGCAGGTCCCCTCTAGATCCCTGGACCCTGCCTGCCAGTATCAGTATGAAGTGTTAAATTGTAAGTTCTCTGCTTCTAAGGCCTTGGAGCATAGGACAGAAAACAGAAAAAGACATGAATCATGCATCCTAATACTGTATATCCACCACTGTTTTTATTGAAGCCTGCTGACTGGTTCCTTATCCTCCACCTGCTGGCTAAGTGGAAAGTGCTGGGTTATAGATGAGAAAAATCAGAAGCAAGGACTGAAGAAAAAATATTTATTTCTTTTTAGTTAAAATAAATGCCCCCACCCTGCCCCACTAAACTTTTCCATCAGGAGATGTGGGGTGCGTGAAAGAGAGTTGAAAGGGGAGTTTTTGAAGGTTTTACCATTGCCCTCCCCAGTGTGCTCACTGTATCTCCCAACAAAGGGAAGGTGCTTCTGCCTGAAAGGTTGGTAATGTTTGTGAACATGGGGGGCCAACTGGTAGCTTGTTAAGTGGCAGAAAACAAAGCAGGTGGGAAGGAATCAAGATCTTCCCCTCCTCTTTTTCCTTGGATTTAAAACTTGCCACGTCAGATTCCTAGAATCCCTGAGACCTGGATAAACCCAAGAATGTACCTGTGAGTGTGGGCTAGGTTGTTTGCACCCTTTAAGACACTGCTCAGTAGTGAGGCAGTCACTTTCCAGAAATATGTTCAGATGGGCACCAACAGACTATGGTGTGTGCTAAACAACAGAGCCAGCATCTCTCTGAGTAAGAGATCAAACTGTGCCAACCTCAACCGAAGAAAAATGAAGCCATAGCTAAGAAGGAACTGCTTCCTCTGGGTTCTGCTGAAAGCATTACCAGGGAGCTTGTACATTGACCAGAAAGTAGAGTGGAGAAATAGAAAGCAGTCCACACCTGTTTCCTCTTGTTTAATGTAATGTTTCTCAGCCATAAGGGATCCGGGAGAGGAGAAAGGCCTTTGAGCTAGAAGGCGACTGATAGTGAGATGTCCTAAATCTGACTGATAAATTGTCAGACTGTCCCGAGCTTAACAGAATGGAATAGACTAAGCTCTGGGCTTTATGCTGACTGGGGGCTCAAAAGCAACATTGATTCCAGATTAAGGAAAAATGTGGTTCATTTTCATACTCATTTAACTGGCAATTTTTCAGTGTATACCCCTCACAGAGATGCAACCAAATGCTGTATGTGGATCAAAAGAGTAAGTTCATTAATGGGTTAGTATCTGTTAAGGGGCACAACATTGGAGGAATCTTGAGAATAATCTCACACTTTCTGGTTAGGTTGCAAAGAGGACACTAAAACTCATAAATGATAATAGCTTAAGAAAACATAGCAAGGTATATGTGCTGCCGAAGCGAGCACAAGAAAACATAGCAAGGTAATGAATGGTAGATCTGGGTCTAGAAGGAGTATTCTCAATGGGGATTAAAAACTGGTTCTTGAAGGGTGAAAAAATCTTTATATATATGACAAATATAACATTATACAATAAATAGTTTATAAATATACATATATAGTATAGCAGATAAACATTACACACAGTACATAGGTAAGTATATCTGTGGCATTAAAATTTCATGGGGGAGGGAAATTAGGGGAAAAAATGTTTAAAAATGCTTCTTAGAGAAGCAATAATAAAATAATGGTTGAAAAATACTTTTCTAGAATCTAGGACTTCTGTGACAATGGTGGTCCACTCTGATGGCAGGCCTGCTCAGCAGAAAAGTTTTTGGTATTTCCCTCTGTGATTCTATCAGTGAGATGTTATTTTCAGTAATTTTATGATCTCTTGATTCAAAATTCCATCATTATATCCTTTGTTTCTAACTGCTTTAGGACATCTCCATCTAACATGTCTCAAACCAACTGATAGCCAGAATTATAAAATGGATTAGAAATGTTTTATTCCTGGGAAATCTCACAGAATCCAAGGGTAGGAAGTATAGCCGTGTGTCACAATGACTCAAGTCAAACACTGAAAAGTCACAAAACATGTAAGCTGGAGGTTCCCAGAACCCCCTCCTCAGGTTTGATTAATTTGCTAGAGTGACTTATAGAACTCAGGAAAACAGTTTACTATATTACTGATATATTATAAAAGGATACAACTTAGGAACAGCAAGATGGAAGAGGTGCATAGGCAAGGTATGTGAGAAGGGGCATGGAACGTCCATGCTTTCTCTGCATCTTACTACCCTTTTAGTATCTACACCTGTTCACCAAATGGGACGCTCCCTAAACTCTGTCCTTTTGGTTTTCATGGAGGTTTCATTACGTAAGCATGGTTGATTAAATCATTGGCTATTGAAGATAGATTCAACCTCCAGCTTCCTAGGGGACAGGGGTGGGAGGGTTAGGCTGAAAATTTCAGCCCTTTAATCCCCTGGTTGGTTTTCCTGGCAACCAGTCCCCATCATGTCTTTATCTAGAGGCTCTCCAAAAACCACCTTATTAACATGAACACAGGTGTGGTTGGAAGGGGCTTGTGATGAATAACAAAAAACACCCCTTTCACCTTTATTATTATTTTTTTAAAAG